TGGAGGCCTTGTCTCTGTTCAAAACACTGTTTCAAATGTCACTCGAGTTGCTAGTTATTTTCTTAGATTTTTTTTTTTTGTTGTTGCTAACTGGAAGCAAGTCTGCTCAGTTTGTACCAGGCAGTTGTCTGATCTGTTCCATCAATGCAATGCCTTCGGTGGGCAACTCACGTGAAATGGTTAGTGGCTAAAGGGATTTTGGCCATGAGCATCTTCTAGGGGCACTTTGGCAGTGCCGTGCAGGGTGGATGCTCTGGGGCTGCTCTGAGTTCCTTGTTCTGAACAATGAACTTGATCACTCAGCTTCCTTTCAGTAGCAAATGAAAAATCCCCCCAGAGGAAAACGTATACTAGGAACAACACAGCAGGCAAGGATCCAGGACAGGAGGTGTGAATTAAAGGCCTGCTACAGTGATAATAATCATAAATAAATACCTGGTGATTAGCATGTAATTAGCACATCTCATCCATTGACCTCCAAGCACTTGGATAGAGGAAAATTAGCTTGGTTACAGAAGTGGAGAACTGAGACAGTGAGGATGCCAAATACAATGTTACTGCTAATTTCAGGAGGTCAGCTGCATTGGCCTTGCTTTGAAGCTAGCTCAGCACTCACCACTGCAGGAGAGCAGATGCAATAGGGCTAGATCCCTGCTCTTCTGCTGGCCCGAAGAAGAGCACTAGTGAGTCTTCCTAGCTACAACACAGTCTCCCAGCTGTGCAGGACTATTCAGTTGGCAGCTCCTCCTCATCTGCCATGAGTCTTCAGCCCACCACAGCGTGGCAGTTTCCTTCTGTGCCACCAGCTCACTGCTGCAAGAGATACCTCCATCTCTCTCATGAGACCTGGTCACTGCCTAGCTGTCATTAGGCTACTGACAAGGAGTCTCACTCTTTTTACCCCTTAGGAGTTAGGTAAACTACATCTTGGTGTAAGAAAGGAACAGAGCACGGGAGGAAAGGAGGTAAAATCCAAGTCAAACGAGTCCAAAACCAAAGCAAAGAAAAGACCTGCAATGCGCAGTTTGCATCAAGAAACTCCCCACCCCTAGGAAAATAAGTTGATGCCTGAAGACAGAAGTTGTAATTACCTGGTAGTTTGCCAGCATCTCACACGCCCCTCTCCCCACCTTTTATTACTCTCTTTTACAGTGTACCTGAAGTTTTTTCCTACCTGTGACATTGACTTCCACCAAGCCTGACCGTGTACCGATGGCATTGGAAGCTTCACAGATGTAAGTGCCAGCTACGCTGTAGGAAACAGGTCCTTTAAAGTAGATGGTGTTGTTCTGGATTTCCACACTCCCTGGCAGAGTCCCATTTGGCCTAGGGAGAAGAAAGATCAGGGCTAACTCCAGAGATGGTACTTAGGAGGGTCAAGAAGCATTGTAGAGTGATGGTGACATGTTGGTTCTGCTCTTGCCCTTGGGGAGGTATAGAGGTGCTGGCTGGAAAATACTCATTAACGTTGCCAGTCCAAACCCCTGGACTGCATTATAGGAAAGAGTCGATAGAGTGTCCTCAGGGTAAATCTGCTGTGATGAGAATCAGGTTGTTTATATGGACCCTCTTCAAACTCTCTGCTGCAGCGGCCCATAAACCACTGGCTCAGAGCAGTGAACTGCTGACAGCAACAGCAGATTTGCTGTTCTGCTCAGCTTGCATTTTAGACTTTTTTTAACCTTCTCTGTGGTTGCAAGGGACATTGAGCTATGGGGTCACATACATCCCTATGGATTTGGCTAAGGGACTCTGGAGCACTTTCAGTTTATATATTTTCTCCTCTCCAGAAAACATATTGGAGCCTTAGCATGGCTTCTTTTCCAGCACAGTTCCCAGATAGGTGGTAGCTTTGGATAAGATGGCTACGTCACTGTTTTGTTTCAGCTGGTTCACCTCTGACAGGCTCATCTACAAAGCATTTCTCCATCCCTGGCTTTTCATTTAATAGAAAATGCAGGAATGAGACACCAACCTGACCCTGCTTTGCTGCAGTTTCCTACCCATATATCTCTCCTGGGCAGCTGATCAGCCAGTGCTAATTGCAGCGCTAGCATGAGTAGAACACTGCTGATTTACAGCCCTGCTGTCTCTGGCCTGCTGGCGGCAGAGGAGTCAGTTAAGTGCAAAACTGGAATAATACAAAAACCAGTCTGAAGATGCACAGAATAAATGAACAAAGGCACATAAAAAACGTAAATAAGACTGTGTGATAGGAAAAGGCATACATGGTCTGGTTATTTTAATTATTGAAGCCAAGAAAAGTAATTACTTCTCTTAAGCAATTAGAAAAAACTCAAGTAATACTTTTCCCTCCTTCCAACAAAACTGTTCACATATTGTCGGCAATTTGTAGGAAACAAAAGGGAGTAACGGGGTATAGTTATGCTTGTAAAAGAGTGCCTAACTGTACATGCACGTGCTTTACATGCCTATATATCCACATAGGCACATATGTGTAGCAAATCCATTATGCAGAGGAAGGAGCATTCTTTCCCAGCTGTACCCAGCCTGCAATGCCAAAGCTGGTGGAAAAATAGGGTTTCCTCATGTTGCTTCTCTGGGTGAATACACAAAGTCAAGGGCACATCTAGAAACTGAGCACCTTGTTAGATGAGACAGTGGGATGCTAAAGGTGGCTACTGCTTCCTCTAATAGCTCTCCTGACTCTCTCTTTGCTCATTACCATGCAAAGTTGAAGAGAGGAAACAAGGGCTGGTTTTCACATTCCAGGCAGGAGCAAACTGCCAGCAGCACCAATTGCTTGACCCCCAGCAATGGAGAGAGGCACATATGAGTACGGGAGTAAACCAATAGCCTTGGTCTCCTTGGTCTGCCCCTGCCTCGCAGAACCCTGCTCCCGAACAGCCTGTGCCGAAAAGGCCAGGAGGTAACTCTGTGCCTGAGGTTTTAATTCCTCCTTTCTTTTCCTTCTCTATTTTCTCTGTCTCAGGTGGCCTCCCTCACTCTCTAATTCTTTCCTCTTCTTTCACCTCCCTTCCCCTTACCTGCAGCTGCACTCCATCTTTCCTTTTTGTCCTCTTTCAGATCAATAATCTATATTCAGTCCAAACTAATGCACCAAATATGCAGAAAAGGAGAGGTTTGGGAATTAGATGGAAGCATTATCGAGGTTAGAAGCCTGTACTTTTTAATTCTGTACTCTCTCTCAATTTTTCTACTTTTTCTCCTCATTCTCCTCCTCAAAGCAAAGTAGTGCTGCTTCCACCCCAAAGTAGCCTAAACTGACATCTCTTCTGCCTTGGGTGGTACAAGGGGCATCTTTAACACTTTCCTGGCAATGTTATGACAAACCCAGTGAGCCCCCTTGGGGTTTTAACTACATCTGGCAGCACGACCAGAGGGAGAGAGCTGAGGAGGAGAATTTTAAAAAGGCAAGAAAAACAATCCTCTTCAAACTTGTATTGTGAACAGTTTGATCTGGGAAGTGAGATGAGAAAAAATATGCTTGGCTCCTTGTAAAGCAATTCTGAGAGCCTCTTTGCTGATGACAAATGCTAGCTGAAAAGAAGAAAGGATCCATTTGATCATTTTTTTTTAAAGCTATATGAGTGCTTATAGAAAAAAGAAAAAGGGAGGGAAGAGAGAAGACAGAACCACCTCAGGTTCCATCAGTTCTCATCTGACTTCCCAGATACCTCTTGCTCCCTTCCAGGTCCCTTTAGTGTATTCAGCCAAAAGCTGAAACCCTGGTGGAGATAGAATTGCTTCTGTTTAATGTCTGACATGTGGGGATGACTGCTTTGACGGGGGCTTCTGGTTACAGCCAGGGCTGATTCCTGGAAAATATATATTTTTTAGATGCTAAGGCTATACCTGGAGGAACACCACTGACAGTAATGGGAATAGGCCCTTAGTCTAAGGATGGACCAGAAGATGACTGAGATTTCTATAGATGCTCCTTGTCCCTGGATGAAGATCAAATGTGCTGCTGAGGGTAGGAGGACTGTAGCACTTACAGCTTCCATTCATAGGTGTGAGCTGGGGGGTTGGCATCAGATTTGCATATCAGCTTTACATCCTTCCGGTTGAGAAACCAGTTGCCATCAAAACCCTCAATAGTGACTTCTGGCTCATCTGCAAGGGGAAGAAAAGGATAGAAAAAACAGGGCAGAAAGGGAGAGGAAAAGAGTTATGGAAAAGAAAGGAGGAAGAAATTAAACAGGAAGAGGCAACAGAGAAAGGCATGGATTGAAAGGTGGAGAAGATGATGGGACAAGGAATATGAGAAAGTTTGAATGAAAGAGAGAAGGGGAGGAATAAAGTGACGTGGCAGAGGCAGAGAGGGAAAGAAGGTATGAGAAAAGGAAAGCATATCATTATTCCAAAGGATCGCTTCATTTTTACCTCCCCAGAAAAAGAGCAACGCCCAAGTCAATGCCTCCACCCAACCAGCATCCTCCCTTTAGAAAAAAACCCTTTTGCAGGACTTTATCCTCTGCCCTGGGGACTGACAATAGAGTATTGCTCTCCAGCCATGCTACTGCTCACTTACACTGCACATTGAGGGTCATGCTATCAGTGAAGCGGTCCAGCTGGTAGTTCACCACGCACATGAGCTGCTGCCGGTGGGCCTCCCTGCTTGGCACCAGCCGGTATCGGCTGATCACTGTGATGGTTCCATTGCTGTTTCGGATCTCCTGAAATTCCGCTTCCCCTTTGAGCCTCGTATCCCAAGTAACAGTGCTGGGAGGCTTCCCATTAGAGGAGGTGCAAGTAGCCACCAAGATCTTTTCTGTCCTGCCAGACTTAGCAATAAGCGGTCGGGTGGTGCCCTCCATCCAATTTGTGGGTTTGGCTACAAAGAGGTGCAAGAAATGAGAAGAAAAGGGCACAAAGGGATGGTTAGAAACACAGTGCTATCCTCTCTGCTGCAACAGAAAGAACATCTGGCTACGCTGAGCCAGTGACAGACCTTCTGATCAATCCACATCTGGTGCAAGTTGGTAGCAACATATTCTGGCAAAAGAATGGTGGATATACACTAGATGCATACCTACAGAAAGGAAAGTAATTCCTTCCATAGATTTTCTGCTTTATGTTAATTATGAAACTCAAACTGGGGAGCAAGTGAACCTTGTGGGTCAATTCACTCATTACCCTAAATTCCATGGAGGAACTCTACTTGTGCTGAGGATCTCTCTGGTGTCTCTTACATCTGTTCACTTGACGGGCAACACCAGCACATTAAACCTCACCAAACCTTTGGAGAACAGATCACCGTTATTGCTGCTACATTAAGAGACTGGGAAACAGATCTGGTAGGAGAAAGTGATGTTCCTGACGTAGCTCAGTGAACCAGAGAGTTAATCCAGCCGCTCTGGTCTCCCTGTTCTTCACCTCCTTACGGTCAACTGGAAAGGGCATTACAGGTAAAATTTACACCCCAGATTCATCTCTGCCCCAAGTTCCCAGGACATGAGTCTCAGATTCCACCATAGCTGTATAATTAAAAGCAATGCTTGACACTGAAAAGCATGTCCAGTATCTTACCCAGCACAGTGAGGTTCAATTGACTTTCCCGGTTGCCAGTTGGGAAGGTAGCAAACTCACAGATGTAAACTCCCTCATCCTCCAGCTCTAGCCGGGAGAGTTGTATGGTGACATCTTTGAAAGAAGGGTTCCGGAAAGTCACCCGGTCTTTGTAGGGAGACAGGATGGAGACCCCCATGGCAGGGTTGTAGATGGCCACATTTTGCTTGGAGCCATTGGTGGATTTCTGCCACGTGACCTGCGTGATCTTCACGTTGGGGTGTAGGTTGGTGAAGCTGCAGTGCAGGACAACATCTGTTCCAATGAACCCCGAGACTGTGTCATTGACTATGACAGTCTGAGCTTGCAGCCCTGCAGTGACAATGAAACATTTGTGAGAAGAACATACCTGTACTTCTGAGACAGAGAAAGAGAAGAAAAGAAAGCTTCTTTAATATTTGGCCACTGAAGCCCATTCTGCAGCACTTAGCAGCTTCATTCCTGTCGATGAACACCACCACCACCTTCTACCCTTGCTGTTCATTCTCAGCAGATACCTCTTCACCATGACCATTCTCTAGACCATTCCTAATGCTCTAGAGACAATCTACGTTTCGCAATCACCAATAGGCACAAGGCTGGACAAACAGTGCTTTCCTTCCTTTTGCCTTCCACTTTGGAAAGCATTAAATCACTTACTGTAAATATTCAGAACACTTGTGTATCTGTGGGCATACAAAGGCACAGATATTTATCAGTACAGCATGTACTAACATATGTTAGCACACACTCAGACATCCTTTTAATCCTGTTGGAGGTGCATCAGGAATTAAATGAGCTGCAAAGACCACGGCCCCCATTTCAGACTAGCAATAACTCCCAACTAACAGTAGGATTACTGCCTACTGTACTGCCATACAGTTTGGATGATCTGCCTGCATAATCTAGATCTTTTGTATGTGACTGTGCCCCAGAACTAGCTGTATTTAGGAAACTTCCATCTTGATACTGTGGAGTAAAGATGAAGAGTGCTGGGTAAAAGTGGTGGTTGGACTTCAGAACTGATACTGTGTCGCAGTTGAATTCGCCCCTAGTAACTGGAGAAAAAAGTCTGAAATTCATCTTTGGCTGCCACTGTGTCTTTCCCTAATCTGTGTGATTCTGAGATAATGCTCTGGTAATTATATAGCCAGTATTTATATGAGAAATACAATGGAGAAGCAAAATGGTGAGAACAAGAAAAGCGGGTTTTGCTTACTCCTCCTGGCAGAACGTGAAATTGGATGTATTCTGGGAGACAGAGAGAAGAAAAGAAAGAAAGGGTCGAGGAAAAGAAAAGATGTACAGAGAGAGAGGAATATGAAAGGCTGATGAGAGAGAAAGAGTCTGGGGAAAGAGAAAAAGGGATGGCAGGAGAAGGAGGTCAGCATCTCCTGAGAGGAGACAGAATATTTCTGAAATGTCTCATTTCAATGTGATGACTTCTGTACTGTTGCTTATCTCCCCTACTCTGTTCTTCCAGTGGACGAATGGGACCCCTGAGCACAAGGCCAAAATTAATTCCTCAGTCTTGGTCCCCACAAACAACAGAGATGTATACTGTTCTAAATAAGAACACAGGCAATCTCCTTCATGCGTTTTGACAGACATGCAAGTGTAGGAAAATGCAAGTCTTCTAACCCCCAAACAACAAGATCTTTACCATCTTCCATGCAGTGTGACCTTACTCCTGACGTCTCAACTAAGCCTCCTCTTTTCTCCCTTTCTCCTTCCCTCCATGCCAAGCGAGTGACCCTGAGGACAAGCCTCAACAATACAGCACGCCCCAAGACGCCATCAGCTGACCACAGTCGGCAGCAATTAAGACTGAAACTCAATCTCTAGAGCTTTGTGCAGACTTGCCCCCTTCCCTGAATCAAGTCCTGGTTTGCCCCACACCCTACTGCTGGGGCTGGGTGGTGAGGAATGTTTTTCAGTACTGCTTATAGACACTGTAAAGCACTGGTGCCCTCATGTGCCTGTATGCATGAAGCCTTCAGAAGTTGAGCTGACAGGATAGCATATTCCCAATTAAAATGTGGATAGGGTCAGTATTACCATGAATAATGTCCTTTCTGAAAACAGTGAGAAGTCATGCTCTGAGGTCGTCAGTAGCTGGACTGTATTTTTCCATGATATCTGGAGTTACTGGCCTTGGGAAAAGGATGTCTAGACAATAGGACATGGTGCAACACCTTTCTGACACCATGCAGCTTGTGTGCTGGGGAGTCTGCTGGTCCACAGCAGCCATTCTGATGAAACCAAATGCAGAACAAAGCCACATTTGGATAATTCTATGCTGAGATTTGAAGAAAGAACGAATGGATGAGGAGGGGGAAGATGTCTCCAACTTGCTTTGCAGCACACTCTGCTCCTACCCTGGAGGTGAGAAAGCTTCTTTCAGAGTTGCTCACACCTGCAGAGGTGTGCAATGGCTTTGCCAAGCAGTCTAGCTCTGAAGTGCTTAGGGCCTTGCAGAGCATGTGGGAGCTTGCCAGAGAGCAAAAGCAATCACGTAGCAAAGGCGCTGGGAACAACCTGCTGCCCATCTCACGGCTGCCTGGCTGTAGGTGTGCGGAGCACTCCCTCTTTCTCCCAAGGCTGGAGGAGCGCGGATTCATCAGCACCTGTCCCCACCTCTTTCAAGAAGGGCCCATGCCCCGAAGCAGCACTTGCCCGGAGCTGGGGCGATGGCACAGCTGGCTCCAGTTCCACACAAGCTCCGTGACCCCCCACAGGCCTCAGCTGTTCTCTTTGAACCACACTTTCGAAACCTCAGTAAAAGAGGTCACATTCGCAATGGGCTGAGAGCCTGACAGGAGGAAGTTGTGGCCCTGTGCCTTCTCACAGTGCCAGGAAAGCAGGAGACCAGACAAACACTATGGAAGTGAGGGGAAGGAAAGTCACTGGTTCCTCCTCACCTTTTTCCCTCACCTTAAGCAGCATCAACAATTTGCAGTTATATCCTCTTATGCTTCCCCTACCCTTGTCATGTGATATGCTCACTTTTTTTTGACAAAGTTGGACACAACTTTGTCAAAAAAAGCCCCATACTCTTTATTGCTTATGAACCTGACCCTGATCTCCAAGCATCAACCAGACCCCAGAATGGTGGTGCAGAACCCTCTTCTTCCCAGGTGCAAAGAGTCAGACTTTTGGCAAGGGAAGAAGCCAGTGCCAGTTGAGGTCTGCTTGCCAACAGTAGAATGCTGCCAAAGCTAGGGTTCAGGCCCCTACATGCAGCACCTTTAACAAAAACACATTCCAAACTTTCTAGAGGCTTCAGGGGAGAAGGGGGGAAAAACAGCAGAAGGAATAACCCAAAAAAAAAAAAAAAACACCACGGAAATCATGTTTCCTTTCCAGGTGACTGAATAACTCTTGGTGCTTTTGCAAGACGAGGTAAACTGCTTGAGTTATGCTCCTCCAAATGTCCCTTTAGAGGAAACAACACACGCACTGCTCTTCTCCATCCCACGGTGATAGTATCCCTGTCTAAAGGAATGGTGAGGAAATGGAACAGACTCAGTAAATCGGGTTCTGCAAGTTCCTGGATCAGTCTCCCATGTTCTCAATCCTAAATCAGAGGCTAGAAGACAAACTGACTCTTGTCATGCTCCTGAAAGTGTTTATTTGCAAAGTGATTGAGATGGGATGACCAGTACTCACTTATCCCACTACATGCTCAATAATTCATCAGGGCAAATGCAAAGATTATTGATGACAATAAGTGTGCAAGCCAGGAAGAAGGGAGAAATTAAAATCACTAATCTGTCTCTGGAGTGGCTTGGACATATTAAGCGGGGTGTATGTGCTTGCATGTGCAGTGCTGGGATCTGCTTTGATTTTTCTTTGCTGAATGATGCGTGTGGTCGATATGAGAGAGAGACTTGGAATATATCCTGCCATTTGCAGTTCCTGTGCCAGATCTCCTAGTGCCCACCAATCGACTCTGACTCCTCCCAGGGGGCAACCAGCAAATGAGGAGGGATTAGATGTATAAGTTGAAGCATGCCAGATGGAGATTTATTCATTACATTTTGTTGTTGTTGGGATCTTTGGGTTTTCTTTCTGGTAAGGGCCAAAAGCAGTAAAAGCGGTAAAAGAGGCCCAGGTGAGTGCCAAAGACATGTTGGTGCCAAGACCTCATTAGCAAAAACCTCTGGGATTCTACTCCTCCACCTTGGCCTCTGAAGTGGTTTGTGTTGATGCCTTTCCCCACGATCCCAAGCCCAGATATTTACTAGGTCATGCAAGGCCTTGGGGGTACTGCACAGAACTTGTGATGCCCTCCAGCACAAGCAGCAGGCTGAGAAGGAAGGTTTGGGCTCATTGAGTGTGAGGGAACAGAATAAGTATGAGGCATGCCTGGTTAAGAACATCTCAGTGTCTTGGATGGGCATGTGCAGCCAACAGATATGGCTCTGTGAGAGTGCTGTGTGAGGACCGAAAAAGGTTTTCAATTATGCAGACATGCCCATCACTTTCACTCTTACTGATGCAGCTTGGACCTCTATGGAGACCTTGTTCCCTCAACTCGAGTTCAATGCACTTCTTGAACGATGCCAACCACCAGTCTGGTCAGGACTGCTGTTGCCTTCACTGGACAGTTCTCAAGAAAGAAAAGAAAGAACATGCTGACCTTTGAGAGTTTCCAAAATGCACCAGTGACATACAGTGCCTACAGAGGAGCAGCTCCTAGCTGTTGTACAAATGAGGTGCATAGGCAAGGAGTCAGAGAGAGGAGTTAACCTGGAGAGGAGTCATGGGAAATGCTCTGTGGGAACTGTGCCATTATCAATGAGCAATAAGCAAGTCTACACAGGACACAAAGGTTTTGAGGCCATCAGGTGTCATCTGGTGTGCTGTTTTCTCTCCTCCTCTTGGCCACCATGATACACTCAATACCCCCCCGAAACAGCTGTAGCTGACTCAGTCTAGGCAACTGGTGGCTCTTGAATTGGGAAACCCTTTCTCCTAAAAGCCCTGGAGGTGCCATAACATTTAGATCCCACACTTGGAAGAAGTGGTTCTTGCTTCCCCATACAGAAAGCTCTGGAAATGATCTTTGGGCACTAGCGAGCTCTGTTACAACAGCCGGCCTCCAATCAATGCTTCTTTGTTACAAGCCATGTGAACTCCACTCAGATTTGCACAACCTTGCCTCTGCTGAGCCACTCACCGATTTCTCTCTCCTGTTCCCTGATACGCATCTCACCTCAAGGGCATTGAAACAGCCCTTGGCAGCAGTATGATGAGCCACCCTTTGGTGTGGCAATATCGTGGCTGATGCAAATGTCAGAGGAATCAGTCCTCATAATCTTTGCATGGCTAAAAACTAAACTGAAGGTTATATGTGGAAGGTCACAAGAGCTGAGCCTCACAAAAGGACAAAACATTGCATCTTCCAAAAGACCCTACACAAAGCACCCAATTTTGAGATGGCCTGTTGCAGTTCACCTTGATTACAGGAATTCTGTTCTGTTCATGGGCTAGTATGCCTCAGGGAAACTTCAAACAGATGTCCAAATCATTTTTATGAGGAGAAAAATGGGATGGCACAGGTGCTCAAAGCTTCCTAGCTGGTACTTTTAAACTTTCCTTCTGAAACCTTGAAACTTTTATGCCAAGCCCTGCCTATTTTTACGTGGAGATCAAGGTCTGAAATGCAGTGCTCTTGAGGCAGAACATAGCCTGCAACCAGCAACCTAAAGGAATGCCACAGTTGTGTGAGGCAGGCCAGGAAATGGGAAAGAAGATTCTGAATCCCATCAAAAACAGCAGGTAAATTTCAGGTGACGGGAATAAAAAGTCTGAAGTGACACTTCTAGAGTGGGAAGGCTGCACATGAAAGGTCTGAGGTAACATTGTGATCTAGCAGGGGGACATCATGATAAATGACAAGCCCAAGCATCCCTGCCCCCAGCAGAGAACTGGGAGCTTTATGGAAGATGACGGGAGATGGCAGCATGTACAATGGCTCATCTGGCTCCCATCCAAATCCCTCTCAAAAAGAACGGGCTTGGCTCTGGCTTGCAAATGGAAAACACAGGGCCTTTTACTCTAGGTCACTGGTTCATATCTAGAGATAGCACATAGTAGTGACAGCAGGATTGTTATTATCTGAGGACTGGTCAATGACTTGTATCGAGTGAGAGCTCTAAGCTGTCCTTCATTGGCTGTCTGCTGGGAAGGACAGTGGAGATGCCTTTGGGATGAAGCAGGGTTGCCTTCTCCTCCCCATGCAGTATTTCCTCTTTGGATAAATAGAGCACAAAGCAGTCTCACGAGAAATTTGAATGAAAGATCTTTCCTGGGGGTCTGATCCACTGATACTTCCCTTCCCCTCTGTTAAGGGTTTCGGAGTCTACTTTATTGTGCCATCAGTTGGATTTGCACAAAGGCCCTAACCAAGACCAAGGTCATGTTTGTGGTAGGTGTTCTTCATCTAAATAGAAGAAAGAAAAACAGAAGCCAGGGTAAGATCATCTACAGATAGACCAGCTAGTGAGAAGCAGACATGAACACCAGAGTGAACCCCTACCTCTTGCTATCTACGCCCCATACTTGCATGTAGACCCAGTTGCAGTCAAGCCCCTATTTCCCTAGGAAAATGGTTGCAAAACAGAGGAGTGGGAAGAGAAAAAACATGCCTACATTTTCTTCCAGCTCTCACTCTTTGCTCTAGCTCTCCTGCCTGTAGCACAGCTACTTTGCTGCACCCCCAAGTCAAGGGGAGGGGAACATGCCCCCTAGCAAAAGCAGAAAGGCTGGCAGAGCAGGGCTCCCGCTGGAAGTGCTGACACAGCACTGGGAAAGGCCTTCCTGCAATAAAGCTATGAAATCCCATGCTCAGCAACAAAGCACAAAGGCTCCTCAGTCACCGCAGAGGAGACGGCTCCTGTTGCCCGCCCCACCCCACAAGCATGTCAACTAATCCTTCAGTGAGAGCTGCTGGTTCCCACACACTTGAGCGGCAAACCAGACTGTCCCTTGCCTCTGTCTGACCTGCAACATGCCTTAGCACCTGGCCCACCTATCAACTGATGCATCCTGTTCCTCCAATTTTGGGACTGGACTTCAATCCAGGTCCTCCCTTAGTGCTTTTCCCACTGTCTGTGCCAACCTACCCTGTTTGCTGACTGGCATCAGAAAACTCCATTTTCCAGAAGATTTTCCTCACCGTGGTCTGCAATGCTTGTTTCCTTGACTTATCCTCGCTCAGTTTGGGGCCTACAAATCTCCTGGCCCCTCTCCTTCCTCTCCAACATCGTCTCCACCAGTCAGCCCACTCACTTTCCCCATCCCATCTCTAGCCACTCATTCCTCTGCAGCAGCACCAGTGAATGTGTCCAGGATCATAATTCTCCAAGAGGAAAAGCTGGCAGGTGGCCAGGCAATGGGGAAGAGAGACAAAAGAACAAGGAAGTAAAGGACCTTCTTCCCCCAAGAGACATCTCATCGCCCCTCAGCAAGGAAAATCAAGGAGTCATCTTGCTTGCCGACTCTGACCTGTAAACAAGGAGGAAGGCTGAGCATGGACATGTCTGATGACCTCAGAAAAAGGACCAGATCTAGAGCCAATTCTCTTTTGGTGGTTGGGTGGGGAAGCCAGGATAAAGAAGAATGGTACAGCTGGAAAATCAAGTCTGAAGGAGAAAGAAGCTGAAAAGCTAAGCAGGGGGAGACTGTTTTAATTGAAACTGTCCTGGTACCTTATCTTGATGGGCTGAGTCCCCAGATTTGCATGAGTATTTTCTCTGCCTCGCCTCGTTCTTGGCCTGCTGTGTTACCCTAGGATATTGTTCAAAGAGTCCTGGTTCACAACTAAATATCCTCACTATTAGAGATCTCCAGGTGCTAAGGAGGAGGGGTTTAATGAGGAGCTGTGAAGAGGTGATCAAGCTAGTAATCTATGGAGAGTCTCATTTCCAAAATGGAGGTACATCAGACAGAAGATTTTCAACAACAATAAAAAGAACAAAATAAGCATGATGGCAAAGAAAGGCAAATCCTTCCCTCCCTGGGCTGAGAGCTCAGAACGGGAGCAGGAAATGAGAGCTCACAGGGCTCATAGCCGCTGGTGACTCACTCGCCTCCACAATGGGAACACGACAAAGCCGAAACTCTGCTGACTCAGGGCTGACTTCAGCGCCAGGGTTAATGGTTGGCAGCTCCATTTCTTACTGCCCCCACCTGCCACAGCATCCTCTAATGCTCCCTGTCCCCAGTCAAATCAAGCCTCTTATCAAAGGGCTCCAGTTACAGGAAACTGCCTAAGAACACCAACACATTGGTATTCTGTCCAAGGTATGGGGAAAAAACAAACCGCCAAACCGTGCTGGTATTGATTAGGCTTGAAACTTGTTACGGGAAAGATCTCAGCTCCTACTTTCCTTTAGGTGAAATGGATGCTAGCCAATGACAGCTTTCTGAGTATGCCTTTCTTTCCTCTTGTTCTTCCTCTCATTATCATTTTGGTATGCAATTTACTGCTGGATATTTCACCATTCCCTTGAGTTAAAGAAAAATGTTTTCCACAGTTTTTAAGTGGGGATGCCATGCTCTGCATTATTATATTTTATACACCAATAGAAATGACAGAAATAGGTCTTTGTGTGTGTGTGTGTGTGTGTGTGACCAGAACAATGTGATACAAGTTCTGACAGCTTTTGACCCTTTGGAAATGGAAATTAGGAAAAATTTCAGAACATGAATGCAACCATGGCACCCAAGATGCAAAAGGATAACACCCTTCACTGACCAACTGCTTGCATTTTGTCTCGTAATGCGTTTTCTCTTGCCCTAGAGATATTTGTACAAGAAAGCTGAAGAGACTAGATCTCCCATCTCATCTGGGTTGTTTTAGGCTTCCTGTCCATGAACAACAGGCTTTAGAGAATAGTGTGTACATATAAACAAAAAGTCAGTGCTCCTGTCTGATTTCCAGCAGGCTGCTACTCAGCTTTCTTATCATAAAATCCACTTGAGGGGGGGGGGGCTAATTTTACAGGCCCCTTCCTCATCCCTGAATTTATGATCTTCACAGTGCAGAGTGATACCATACTTCAATCCTACCGAGGCCCCACCTGTAAGAATAATACTCCATATTTATAGAAAGCTTTGCATCTTCAAAAGGCTTTTCAAGCATTGACTAATTAATCCTCCAACACCATAAGAGGCAGGGAGGTATTATTATCTCTGCTTCAAGAGATGGGTAAATCAGAGGTGCTGAATGACAAAGAAAAGCGCCTACAGCCACCCAGGCAACCAGTGGCCATCTTACTCGAATGCCTTGGGTTGGAGATGGGTCTCTGCATATCATGGTGACAACTCCCACCTAAGGAAGAGGAGTACAGAGATACAGAGTCATTACAGAGGAAGGCCTCACAGCCTCACCCCTCATTCTTTTTTTTTTTTTGGCTGAGGAAACGAGGCACAGAGAGGTTTCTATTGTAAAACTCCAGAAGAGAACATAAGTTTGCAGAATATCCACGTTAACAGCTAGACTGAGAGTTCCCAAAATGTGCCTTGAGTGCCACTCAGCAATGAACAAACAGGTTGTGACCCAACCTAAAAAATTGTGTGTTAAGAACATGCCACAAACAATGAGAGACATTGCAGTTGACAGGGACGCACTGAGCCTCCGACCAAAGCCAGCCTCGCCATTCCAGTCCCCATTGCCCTGAGGTGTTGACATGCACTTTTGCATTTGTCTCACTGCTTCTTGCTAAGGCCTAGCTGACACTCCAGGCGTACAGAGCAGTGGGACTCCTCCTAGCCACTGATTCTGCCTGGGTTTGGATCTGGCATGGCCAGCTACAACTTAGTGGCAATGCCACCTCTGCAAAGATGACAATCAGAATTGGGCAAATTGGGCTGAATGGGGCTGTGTTTTACACCAGAGCTTGCCAGCTGCACTGGAGCTGGAAGGGCTGAGCAGTGGGCAGCTGGAGAAGAGATTAGCTCCATGCTGGATGGAGATGCATCTCTACTATCTATTAAGGTCGCAGCCTCCGCGCGGGCTGTCTGGGGAATGATAACTGAGCACTGAAGGGGCTGCACAGGTGGAAGCTCAGTGGAGCCTGCTGAGCTTGTAAGACCCAAGACTGTAAACAACTGACAGGACCACCCATTAGCAGCTGCCTGTGACCACCCAAATCACGAGCATCTGTGAGGGGAAGGCCATAAATAAGGGTCAGAGGTGGTGGGGAGGCCTCCCATAGGGGGTCATGCTCTCTCCTTTGTATACACAGAGGTCTGGGATAGATGGGGCAGCAGCTCTGGCCTTCTGGACATTGTGAGACCAATGCAGGTAGGTCCACTCCTATCAGCTTGGAAAGGTCAGGGCAGTTGGTAAGGCCTGGCTGACTTGTTAAGACAGATATTACTTAGCCCAGAGCAGAGGACAATTCAGGAAGAATGGCAACACAGAGCCACTCAACTTGTCCTGCAGAGAAGAGGGAAGGTGTTTACAAAATAGCAACCAGATCATAGTAGGTTTTGCTGTGTTTTCAAAAATGCCAGGCAGCTAGAGGATTTGTTTCTTTCTGCTGGCCCTGATTTTTTTTCTGTTGGGTGAGGGAGCTGGGTAGGTCCAGGAGAGAATCCAGGCATTGCTCTCAGGTCTCTCTTCATAAGCATGCAATGCAGTGGCAGGCTGAACAAAGGAAAAGGTGGAGCAGAGTAAGGGGAGGAAGGGAAGGAACAAAAGAGAAAAGGAGGAAAGAGTGTAGCCTCCTACTCCTGCCCAGACTATAAAAATAATAATAAAAAAGTAAGCCCCTTGTTTTAGCAGGTTGGTTTAGGGTAGTGTTCAAAGCATCTCAGTCAAAACAGGGGCTCTGGAATGGCTCTTAATCCAAGCAGGCATTTGCGTCTCCCAGCACTATTCAACTCATTGCCCATTTGAATTCAGAGTCCTCCCATGGGGAGCAAGACTTGTCCTTTCTGGTAGGGTAAATGGGGATAACCAGGAACTTAGACTTAAGTTATATATACTTGAGATAACAGGGTAGGTATGGAAAGTTCTAGTAACTGTTTTTTGCCTTATTATCCCATCCCTGAAGGTGGGGGGATAGTGTTTCCAAGTAGCCCCAGGGAGGTTTCAGGTTGTGAAAGAGCATTTGAGGGGATTTGATGTTAAATGTCACCCAGGAGGTGGAATGACAGGCTGTGCTGAGTCACTCACTGGGTGTTTTCTGGCCCAGGCACAAGAATGGCCCTGGTTTCATCCAGCAGCACATCCTGGGCGGCATTTCAGCTATGCATCACCCAGATCCCAATAGACCTAGCTGGGAACCACATGGATTAGCTGGTGTTTGGGCTGGTATTATATGGACAAGGAATGTAGCTACATGGCCTGAATCTGTACAGCAGGCTTGAATCACCAATTTGCTCTAAATCTAACTGTTCCTGAAGCTTAGCTTCATGATAGAGATGAGCCAGAACCATAAGGCAATTGGGTTCCCATAAAGATCCATTAATGATCAGCAGGATGCAACAGGCTCAGAGGCAACATCCCATTTACAGCATGATGGTGGAAAAAGCAGGCCCAGAGACTCAGGGTTAAATAGCTCAGTTTGCCCTAGTTGGTGTATTTCATTGACTTCATCATTGTTTTATTGACTTTCATTGAAACTGCCTCAGCATTAGGCTCCCTGTTTCCTTTTTGTGTAGTTATAGGATGCATTCAAAAGTTTCCCTTTGTGGAAGGGAACAGCAGACTGCTCGGCTGGGCTGGCATATTAGCCTCTGTGCCACTAGGGGAGAGCTCCAGCCAAGTCATCTCCATCTTCACAGTCCGAGATGAAGTCAACTGCTCTCTTGGGATTTGTGTGCATGTGTGCGCAGTCCCAGCTGAAACTGGGGAGTGAGGCAGTTGCCACAAAAATGGAAAGCATGTGAAAAGAATTAGAGCTAGCGGAAAATTTTCCAACACATCATGTTTTTCTGTTGGAAAGGGCCATTTAGTCCAAGCCAAAGCTATCCACTGGAACGTGCTGGTTTTGACAAAAGTTTTTTTTCTAAAAAAAAAATGAAAACAGTTTGATAAGGTCAAGACGTTTTGTGCTAGCCTTGGAACAAAATGCTTCCTTTTTTGCTCCCTGCCCCCATCTTAAAACAAAGGGGTTTTTTTGTTTTTTTTTTTTTCCATTTTAGAACTTTTTCACTTGCTCACTTACATTTTAAAACACTGACCAGAGCTGCAACCAGAATGCAATTCTTTGACTGTAGTGCAATGGGACATTTTGGATTATGCCAAATGAATGTTTTCTTTTGAAATTTCCTTTTTGTGGAAATTTTCAAATGGCAGTCTGTTTCCAAGCAGAAAAAAAGCTCACTTGGATTTGTCCCCACTGCAAACTTATTTTGCATTTTACTCATCTCTACATCTGACCTTTTTGATAGCTCTCACACCCCAAAAGCAAGCATCTCCTGCCTGCCTCTGAAGCTGTCCACCTTCATTTTCCACCATTCCGTCTGAGCAGTATCTAGCTCCATCTGGACTCGTTTTGTAAAAGCATCCTCCCACCCTATCAAGTTAGGAGTTATAAGCGCCCTGAGATCAATGGGAGCATCCTTGTGATGCTACCAAGGACAAGGGCAGGGAGGGCTCAGGCTCTGCATATCCCTGCTCCGGCGCCTGTCCCACCAGACACTCCCTGTCCTCTCCTCGCTGCTGACAGACGAATTTGCTCCCATCCTCCACCTGCCTGCTGTGCCCACCTCCTCCTCCGTCTGCTGTTTGTCTTCCCACTTGCTAACAGCGTCAAGGGAGACTCTTTAAAAGGACTTGTGTTCTTTTCAGATGGGGTGGAGGTGGGGGGAATAGAGGACACAAACCAGACTCTTACATATTTTAGCAGACACTGCAATATGCACACAGTTTTTTGGGAAAATTCTACATCTTTAATGATAAGCTTTACTGAGACTTTCCCCCAAAGTGTCAGCCAGTTCCCTTAGCAAGAAAATGCAAAAAAAAAAAAAAATTCCTGCAGGACTTTTTTCCCCCTTTGGAAAGCTGAAAACAACTGGGCAAGATCTGAGCACCTGGCTGCACAGTCGAAAGGCTGAACACTTGGCTATCAAACACAGCATCTGCTCTTAGATATGCTGCTGAGAGCTCCGAGCCAACCAAGTGTGCGCTTCCTTGCAGCAGTGCCCCTGATGTCAGCCA